TCTACTCATGTGGATCGCTTGTTTTATTCACAGGACTATGGCAATGTTACTATCGGAAGTGAACCGCTCGTGCTCACCCAAATCCACAGCGACCGTCCTTGGTGGAGCGCAGACTAGAGATATTGGCCTAAGTACGACTTCTCCGAGTGGCTTTCGACATCACCTACTCAAGTCTTATGTAAAGGTGAGAAATCTTTTCACATGTATGTTGTCTCCCATGGTTGACGACTTTCGTGTTGTTCGAATATGATACTTATCTCTTACTACTTTTATTATTTTTGAGTAGACAGAGTACACCTTTGAATTTTCTTTTCTTCCCTGCACCACAGTTTTTTTTTGATGCCGCTGCGATCACTTCCACCAGCATCAAGATATGCGAGCAAGCCAAATCTGATATCGATAAGGGTTTCCCGGCCAGTCTACCCATTCCACTGCATCATGCTCTTGTTCGTTCCCTTGTCGTGACGCTGGCCGATGTTAATTTGGCTCATCATATACTGACACATTTCTTCACCAATCTGTGGTTTCCTCTCGCACTCGTGAGCAAGGCGATGGCACAATATTTGATCAGTAGTCAGAAAATTAAGGTAAGTTACCCCATCTCTCGCTTTTGTCCCGTCTTTCTCCCTCCATCTAACCAGCACTTTTTATCGTTATCCAGTCGGACCGTTCGAACGAATCTCGCTTCACCACCTCGTTCTCGGACGATTTGGCATTGCTGATTAAACTCATTGGAGCTCGTTTGGCGCCGTTCGATGGGAGTCCTATATCTGCGACGGCCTTATCCTGCCAGGTTTCACTAAGTGGTGAAGATCAGCGTGACTCATCTCTGACACGAGCTATCTTTCGAGATGTACCGGGCAACCGCAATAGCTCGACAAGTCTTCCGGTGGATGTCAATCGCGTTACCCAACAACGACAGGCTGTCAACGTAGTTTTGCTCGGTGAGGAAACCAAGGACGTTTTGCGAACGAATACGCTTCAGTCGACTACCACAACGGATCAGCTGGTCGCGCAAGCTGGTCGTATCTCATCGCTTGGTTACGAGGTCAATGCCTGTGCGGTGATGGGTGTAACAGCACGTTTTATTGGTCATCTGTTCAACCTGATGGATCGTGGTTACGTGATGAAACGGATCCGTGATTTGTTCATTTTATTAGAAGTTGGCCCTCGAATGGTAAGTTGTTGTTTGAAGTACCGTGTTCGTCTGTGTTGTGCGTAGTGATCTGGTAAACTCAATCTTTGAGTGGGAGCGAGTCGTGGAGCCATTCAGTGTAGGCCAAACAAAGGAGGGTCCTGTCATGGATGAGGTCGTGTACACCAAACATGAGAACAGTTCACGTAGCCTACCATATCACGCTGCATTGATTTTCGGGCCTTGTCTGATTCGACTCCTCTTAGCCGACAGTGTCGCACGAAACTGGTCAAGCTCATTATGGCCTACTCTTCATCCTTAAAAACTCCAGTTTTGGTATCCAGCGAGGTGTCTAGTCCGGTTCACGCCGATGACATCATTATTTTGGCTAATGGCCCGTGAGAATTTCAACAGGTGATCAATAATCTAACTCATGTTTGGAAATCAATACTTCGAAGACCAAGTTATCCTTCACCTGAATGGAATAGCCTGCCCATCTCAAAATCCACCACGTTATAGACTTCCACCAATTCACCCAGTGGATAGGCTTAATATATAGTCGACGGCGTATTGATGGTCTCCACAAAGCCTTCGCACACCTGCATTCCATTTTGTGGAAAGTGAGGTCGGCTTACATACATCTGGCTTACAGCCATCTGTCCGGTCCTGATTTAGGGCTGCGAAATATGACTGGCAGAGGATATGATGAGGGCTCCTTATCTGGAGGTTTCTAATGATGAGATCCAAAGGCTCATTTCACCTCCTTCAATCAGGAATTCTGCAAAGGTTTGATATCATTTCGCGCTAAAATCACCAAACAGACCACCCCTACAACATGTCAAGAATGGTGTTCAAAAAGACGGCCAAAATCCTGACTCACCTTGGTCAACAGCGGCTAGGAGCAGTTCGGCCTCCGCGTGGTTCTTTAGGATCTGTTATTAGATCGCAATTTGTGCGGATCTGAAAACCGATTATCATGTTTGGGCTGGACGTATCCGACTTATTTGGGGGATGGTCGGTCGAATGTAGGAGTTAAAGATTCATCCATATCAGTTGTCCTTCCATCTTAAGTGGCTTAAGTGTAGCTTGACGTATGTTACTCTGGAATTTGTTCTGTAAGCGAGTGGTCTGACGAGCAGTGGATAAAACGTCATCCGATTGCTTGAAGATTGTGTGGGTCATTGTCACTCTCTAGGGTTGTTTCAAGTCATCCCATCTTTGAACCTCCACATTTGATTCCACTTACATATGTTTTGTGTTAAAGTCCATTGAAAACTGTGGACAGCATCGCATGGATATTGCTCCACCTCCTCCTTACAGCCCGTGAATGTGATCGATCGGCGGAACGAATTACGCTTTCAACTGCTCAACTGTCTTTCTCAACACGAGCATTTCGTCCAACTCAACCTTCCCACTCTCAATCCTTACCATGGGACAGGTAAGTGACCAGGGCCTAGTCACTGGGCACGTTTTTGGCTCCAATGCTACGTGTAACCGGATTTCTGTCTTGGTCATATTGCACATGCCTTTTCGGGTGATTTTCGCCTCGGATTCTCTCAATTTCCCACAATTTTTGTTGTTTTTCGCAATTCACTCGGCAGGTACTTTGGCGATTCTTTCTCATTCGTCTTGATTACCTGACTAGCTGAATTTCGATAGGTACACGTTGTCATGCACATGGGGCAACAAGCCTCGACCATCGAACGCACGGACTAACCGGTGTGGCACAAGACTCACTTGTGAAGCGACACAAGCTATACCAAACCACTCTTCTACAGGCGCTGGAATAATTTCGAATTACCAGAACTGTTTCTATGTGAATCCTTCTCTGTCCTGACAAGCTTGGATGAGTATTGTAACGTGATATGTTGAGCTCAGTTTTAGAGTGATCTTTTTAATCCATAAAGCTCACAGACCCTGTCCATTCGACCTTGTATTGAAGAACTCACTCACCAAAGTGGACAGCTTTGTTCGTGTTTCCGTATTCAGGATTCGCGACAAAAATTCCGAATTAGGGATGGTGTTACGATTCTGATCCAATCGATCGATCAGTGCACGTATCCGCGTAGTTGATATTTATCAGCCCCGTACGATATGAATACGCTCGTTACTAACTTCCTGGGTCACGTTGAATTTCTAAATCTTCCGGGGGTCCTGAGATCCGCGTTGCTGGTGTTCTCAACCAGAACAGTCTGTTCAAACTTTTTTCATAACTTGCCCCCCCCCCCCGAGCAATGGTTTTCAACTTTTCCTCTTCCCTGCTCGCCGCTCCCCACTCTATCCAGTGGCCTTCGCACCCCCAACCATTGTGATGGAAAAATCTCAAATCCTTGTTACAGTCGATGCATTCTACCTTTTACTGTATTCTTTTGCTTCCCATGAGAAACTAACCCGTAGGTGACACAAATTTCGCATTCACGGAATCCTATAAGCCAGTCGCCAGTCACGCGTTACCGACCACCATATTCTCGGAATATTGCGCTCTGTAGGAAAATACTACTGGTGTGTGTATGAACCCCGTTGTACCTGTTAGTTGTATCCATATACATGAGCTCGACGTGGCTCAAGGGTTAAGCACGAGACTGATTACTTCTGTTTAGGCTCTGACAACCTGGTAGAATATGGACCTTCGTACTTCCTTCGAGGTGCACGACAACTAATCGCAGCAAACGTAAGACAACCGAGTGATTATTGTTTTACTTACCATTATTATCAGGAAGGTCAAATTCCTGAAAGCAGTCACTGAGTGCCCGAAATCTACTGAGACCCTCAGCTCCGCTAGATGCTGACCAGACAGACAACGCCCCTGCAATATGCAGCGCGTCACAGCCTCGAACCAAAGCCAGACCTTGTGCGTCAACGTTGGACCAAGTTAGACATTGTCCCTCCAATAACTAGCTTGAGACCGTTGTATTTTCGCGTTCGCACGCCCTCATGCTCTCGCACTCGCCCGTTCGGAATATGTTCGTTGCGTTCCCTTCTGTGAGTCTTTTTTCCGACACTACGCACTGGAGTGGGTCAGCAGTCAGACATGCAGATATAACAATCACACACATGCATGCATATGTATAGATATGAAAATAAAATAAAAGCTGTAATAATTTGGCTGTAAAATGCTTACGTTGCCGAGCTGCCGTGTCTCCTGAATTAAGCACGAGGGCTGCGATACTGCCTGTTCGTAAAAGTCCAGACTGGAGCAACCGAAATTCCGGGCTGGTTTCGAACCACGGGCCATCCGGCCAATAAGTTCGCGCCTTTACAACTGAGCTAACTTGGCGATTATGTTGTCCTCGCACACAACGGTATTTTAGGGTAGGAGAAAGTATTTCTGAGTGGATTGCCCGTGGCATGGATACTGAAGTTGATGTCAGAACAAGTATGTTTTCGTGTTCGAATCGAAGAATCCGTCCTAAAAGGTTCATCAAGTTAGCTGAATGATGAATTGATTTATGGTTACTTTTATTCCGTAGAGAGTTACCCGTAGTTACTGTAGAGTTACCCTCGAGCATCTTGTGAATCTCTGCTCCTCTTGAAGGAAGCCCTGTAGCTTTTTTTACGAAGATTCACCCTCCAAACGGACGAGTTCAGATCGTAGGGTGCGAAGGGATGAGCACATTGGATGTTGCGATTACAATCCCAGAACTGTGTGCATGTCCCCACGGATGAAGATTCGTAAAAGAACGTTCAGCTGTGGCACCCTTTTGATGCCTAACCGCCGCGCCACCAGAAGGAAGCACTAGGGTTGGGATACTGCCAGGTTGCCCAAGTCTACACGGGGAAAGTCGAGAGGTCACGTTCGAACCACGAACTTTCCGGTCATTAAATTCGCCCTCTAACCACTTGGACCGTGTGCGAATAAAAAACAGTGTGTATAAACCTTTAAAGGCGTCCCATTCTCATCCTGAATGCTAGCCACCGAGTGAATTTGTTCGAGCAATTCGGTCTCACCATTTGTTGTTTAAGTCTGGAAATTTGGGGGGAAGGCATGCCGACATGCCTACATTGCTGAGGATCGCGGTTACGATAACCGTGGTCGTAATGCGAAGGAACGGGATTGTACCTATATTTGGCTAGAGGTGAATGGCAGTGGCGTCCCCGAAACGGGTTAGTTGTTCAGCCTGCCCATCGGGATATATATCGATCGTTTTTGGTATTCTACTCAACGCATGGTTTATTTTCCTCTAACCAATCACAAAAATGCCAAATGATATCGCAAAATAGCGCTTCCGTCGTTCTTATGTTTGTCGGTTATGTAATGCAATGGCCACCACCCCCCTCCTCTACGCCTGGTTGCGCTCGGCTTACCGTCACCACCAACACCTTTTTTCATCCACCAGTTGACCGGCAATTGGATGACGGAACCGTATTTCCGTCTGCTGATTGTGGTGATGTTTGTACAGCCGGTGAGAGTGAGTTACCTCCCAGGTCCTGCACTAAGGTCATTTCATCTGTACACAGTTGTTTTTTTTGTATTTATTTATTTCTGTCGCACGTCATTTTGTTGCCGTGCTCGACAAACCGATTGGTTAGTTCGACTTCTCTTGCCCATCGGAGCATTGTTCACTGTACCCTTTCATGCCTTCGTGTAAATGTTGTGAGTGTGATCGATATCCCGGCTTGTAGGTTGCAGTGATCATGCCTCTTTTAGTCGTGCATGCGACCTCCATGCTCCGTTCTGATCCGTTCTGTTCAACGAATTCCTCTGTTTCAACTCTTCAGGTCCTCCGGTTCATGACCTTCGTCTCACCGAACGATTTCTGCAGGAACACTTCCTTGTCGGAGCAATCCTCTCAAGCGTCAGTTGTCTCTTGGCCGGCTGTGCTGATACGGGCAGCTGGGCTGCTGGTGGTCCGCCCACTCAGCTACACCGACAACCGTTGTGTATACTACGTAATCTGTTGGCAAAGCACACACTCGATCCGAGATATGCCGCTTCCAAGCAATGCCAGGCACGCATTGCCGCCCTGTATCTCCCGTTGATACCTTTGGTCCTGGATCATTCCGACGTGTTTGGTCCTCCGGGTAAGTGACTGTCTGTTATATTTGCTGATTCGCCAATCTGTTGTATGTGACTGCTGACCCGGTCCAGTGCCTAATGCCGGAGAAAAGAGACTCATAGAAGAGAACACAAGAGCTGTATTCCGAAGGAGCGAGGGTGCGTGCGAGTGCGAAAAGTACGACGGTCTCAAGCTATTTATTGGAAGGAAACTGTCTGAACTCGGTCCAATGCTGGCGCACGCGGCTGTGACGCGCTGCATATTGAGGGGGCGTTGTCTGTCTGGTCAACATCTAGCGGAGCTGAGAGTCTCAGTGGATTTCGGGCATTCAGTGGTTGCTTTCAGGAAGCTGACCTTCCTGATACTGTCCAATTAGGGATTAGTATTCAGCTTGACCTTCACATCTGATCTCTCTTTTGCCTACTGGTTCTCGCCTTCTGGGCACCCAACGCTTTTCTCCATTCTGCTTGAGCTTGACCTGAGAGAAAGCTGACCTTCGTGATACTGTCCAGTTAGGGATAAGTATTCAGCTTGACCTTCACATCTGATTTCTCTTTTGCCTACTGGTTTTCGCCTTCTGGGCACCCAACGCTTCCCTCCATTCTGCTTGAGCTTGACCTGAGAGAAGTCGTCAACTTGATAAGCCAAACACAGTTATGACGCGACAAAAGTTTGCCGGATGGTTTCCACCAAGAAAGTGGTGTCGTCCTTCATTCTGCTGGTAATGGTCTCGCGAAGCGTACTCAAATGATAGGCTGGTAGGAAAAGTCGGCCTCTAGCTGTTGCCGCATGATCGATTGGTTGTAATGGGATTTTCTTTCGTTGCCGCTGCCTATGGGTTCTCCCGTTTGGCCGACCGATACTCCGGGTCGGTTGGGATGGGGTTCTTACCCTCAGCCAATCATCTAAAAGTGCTTTGTTTTTTTACCTGGTATTCGCCGCCTTATCAAACATGTTCAATGAAGCGATGTTCCACCACTGTCGTTAGAACGGTTATCCTCCTGTTCTGGTGTAATTATTCCGGTGAGTCCACACCAAAGGGAACCACTAGACTCGAGTTTCTCTGTTATTAGAGCTCATCAGCAGTGCATACTCAATGGCCGTGCCGCGATTTGAACCCCGGACATCTGACATGCTAGGCGAGCGTGCGATCACTACTCCACCAACGCACGTTGGACGCATCTGAATTTTTACGTCTGAACATGCGAACGTGTTCACGCTTGAGCGATGTGATTGGTGTGCCCGACTCATCGGGCATATTCATTCAAGTATTCATATTCATATCCGTATATTCATTCATCAGCGATATTCATTTGAGTAATGTTTCATGTGGGGATTCTACGGGAAAAGATATTTTGTCGCTTGGGTTGAAGTGATTTTGTCATGCATAACGCGTGTCCGCTTTCAGCACGGCGTCTCCGGTGTGGATCTAGTGTATTATCGTCTTGATGATGAGTTCCATTATGTGTGACCGCCTAGGTTAGTCTACTAATGGTTAGCTGTGGTCTTACTGAGTGCCCCATCACGACTGATCGATGAACATTGAATTGCTCTTCATACAGGTGGTGGTCTCAAAGCGGCCGTATTGGCTGCGGCCGCTCGTGGTGAATTCCGGGATCAAGAGACTACGAACTCTGTCGCTGCGTCTGAGCGAAGTCGCCGGAAAGGTGTGGCGAATCCCAGTTCACATCCATCTGGTAGGGTATCTACCGGTCAGAATCAATCAAGGCCACGCAGTATCGTCAGCGACCTCTCCTTGGAGACGTTGGCAGCCGGGAAGAGTTTGCACTCACTGTCCAGCGGTGAATCCGCCTCCATATCGGATGGCAGTGGAGGTGGATCAATTTTCGATGGATCTGTGGCTTTGAGCGCCGGAAGTTCGTCGTCTGCCGCCTATCTGACGAAAGATGATAAAGTTGCTCCGCATATTCTTGATCGGATCGCTGGTAAGTCTGCCTCAAACAGCTTGCATTCAGTTTTTGGTTTGCATCCCTTAGACTCAGTAAGCACATTACGGCATTTATATTGATCAAGGGCAGAAATTGGATTATCAGAAGACTTTCATTGTTCCGAGCTGTGATGTCTTACTGCAGTATCTGTTCGCCTCACCCAAATTCTCCGAAATTGTCCACCTGATCGCGAAATATCTCTTAATGTATCAGTGACTCACCGTCGAATGTTTTCTTCAATCTATTTAGGCATGCCTTTGCGGAACGCACAATGGCGTCGAACACGTGACGACTCCAGCAGCACAACCAACGCCCAACCATCCGATGGTGACTCTGTAGGTCGTCTGCAAAACAGTCACACAGCCTCCAGCCACACCGGTAGCACTCTGACTCTCACCGGCCTGGATATGGTCAACGGCGGAGGTTCTGCCGGTGACCCAGTCGCAGATGACGAAGTTAGTGTCAGTCAAATTGCCCCTGTTCGATCTCGGCCGAATAAACTTGAGTTTGATACGAGCATTCGTATGGCGGATGAGTTTCATGAAAGTGAGTCAGTCAGACATTGTGTAACTTCTCCGGCAAAAATCTCCCACGTGGTGCTTAGATGGTGCGCATCATTGTGTTATTCTTTACCGATAGATTTTGGTTCGCATGTTGCAAGACGCAGAGTCCGAAAAGCACCGTTCAACCGTCTTTTCAATACAACCGTTAATCCCCCCAGATTCCCGCTACTGACTATCGATCCCTTCTCCTAAAGGGCACACGTTGCCTGTGGCTCGTGAGCGTCACCGTTGGGTAGATGAGCAATATACCAACCGCCCAAAAGGGATCGGTTAATTTCTATCCTAACCCCCCCCCTCAACCTGAAGTGAGACGTTTCTTCAAAAATTCAGACGCACAAAAACGGTTTGCCATCCCAGTTGATTTTTTGCGGCTGAGTGGGAGCGTGCAAAAGCTTCAAAATGTAGCTACGGTCACATTTTTGGTACTGCCCAATCAATTTCGCACACAAAAAGTAGGCGTTTGACTCGAAGTTACCGCGGCCGAATCGACAGATTAGTGTGAGACGCGAGCTCGACAACGACTGATATATTTTCCTGAAGGAACATACTACTTGTAAGGTCGCTGAAAACGGGCAAGTAATGTCGAATATCGTGCCAAGTGAAACATGAGGTGGCCTTTGAACAGCACATTCCGTTGAAGGATATCGTAAGCAGGAGACAATAAGCTGGGATTCATTTGAGTTAATACATCCTACCCCCCCCCCCTCAACCTGAAGTGAGACGTTTCTTCAAAAATTCAGACGCACAAAAACGGTTTGCCATCCCAGTTGATTTTTTGCGGCTGAGTGGGAGCGTGCAAAAGCTTCAAAATGTAGCTACGGTCACATTTTTGGTACTGCCCAATCAATTTCGCACACAAAAAGTAGGCGTTTGACTCGAAGTTACCGCGGCCGAATCGACAGATTAGTGTGAGACGCGAGCTCGACAACGACTGATATATTTTCCTGAAGGAACATACTACTTGTAAGGTCGCTGAAAACGGGCAAGTAATGTCGAATATCGTGCCAAGTGAAACATGAGGTGGCCTTTGAACAGCACATTCCGTTGAAGGATATCGTAAGCAGGAGACAATAAGCTGGGATTCATTTGAGTTAATACCGTTGATGCCAAGTTGATTCACAAATCATCATCATCATCATTGACAGCTTGACATCAGTGTTCGACACCGATGTTTCACTGCTGTACAACCATGATTTATTTGAAAGGCTTATTGCAAAGAAAAGAGTAAAGGTGGACGGGGTAGGGATTTAGTGTTGGCTTACTACAATCATTCTGGAGTGCCTACACCTCCAAACCTTCATTCGTGCAATCTGGATAGAAACTGACAACAAGAACGTCACTGACATCGTTGGCAGCCATATCTCGCAGTGTCTCAAACCAGGCGCAGTAAGGATCACGCGGTCCCCATCCTGGAAGGCGAGTTGTAGCGGCGGCACCCAAGCGTTTCGTGGTCTTTATACTCCCCTGCCAAGTCAAGGATTGGCCACAAATGAGTGGCTGGATGGAAGTAACAGTGTGTAGATGTATGGTTTAGGCTTTTGGACGATCAGAAAAGAGTTGTTTTTGTCACTGATAGGTGAGCTGAAAGTCATTCAGGTCACGTGATGAGATGTGTGAGCGCAGTGTGCACGGAAGGCCTAACCGAGCCCCTCGTTTTTGGTGTTCTCCAAATAAATAAGTGTGCAGATGAATTGCGCACAATTTGCGTTGATTGGTTGGCGGGAACTTGGCGACTCTCCCTACTCAATGAGCGCACAAACTGCTTGTGGGTTATCGACACTCCTTTCCGAATGTCAATCTAATAATGACTATCGTATTAGGATTGCAGTGTCGTCGAAAACTAACGAGACTTCAGAACTAAGCGAACCAATTTGGTTTTACGAGAGACTCACCTGGAACTCAGTTGAATCTCTCGTTTGTGATGTTTCCAGGCAACTGAATGTGCTACACCAGGTCGCCTCATGTTTCAGTCGCTACGATATTGGAGATATCGCGATACATGTATATCTTTGTAATGTACTACTCATAAGGTTGCTGAAAAGTCAGAACGTTTCACACGTGTGTCTCATCTTTCAGAAGCTGTGAACACTTCTCAAATCTCTTGCTACTGGTGAACCACTAACAGCTCAGAGGGAGGAACCTTCTATGTGAGAACCTGTCAGTTCAGGAACCAGTTAGTACTTGATCCCGCACTGTGGGTTCACCGATTGGAGAATGAGTGATTCCACGTTGTGTCCATGTGCGTTATGGCTTTAGGTGTTAGTTGGGAGAGTCCGAGTTTGAACCTCCATAAAGATTCGTGGCGTTGATGATCCCCGGTGAGAATGAGACAGCTGCTCTGTGCTTTTCAGCGTTTCAGCGTAGAATGGCTTTACTCACAGCTTGTAGTATCCATTAGACATTATTGGTTATTGCTCAGGTAGATGGCTGTTGATCCGTTCGTCGAGCTTGCCAACCAATAAACTCACCTGAGCTACGAATCTTTCGACACATTGTTCTTCTTGTCTGTGGAAAACTGTCTGCCATCTATTGATACCGGCTATTCGGGTTGTTTTGTTTCTTTTTAGACAAGAAAGGTGAGTGCAAATCACTTTGTTCACTATCCCACATACGCTATATTGCTAGTGTTCCTACTGTTGGAGTATCCATCCTTTCACGAGACGCTACGATTCGTACTCTCTAATGATCACTCAACAGGAGATTGCACATGTAACAGTCACCCCCTTGTTCCTTCAGGCTACTTCGTTTACTCAGTTCACCACGTATGCACTCACTAGGTCATGCGTCACAAATCACGTGATAAAGAACTGTCCCTCTTGCACCCTTGACCGACCACTGGTACACTGTGGAATTTCTCATGCCAGACGGCCTATGACCTTCATTCACATCAGGTCAAGTTGTTTTCAAGTTTGTGAAACTGTCAAACACGAATGATCACAACTCTTTTCACACTGCACGCATGCAACTCGGCCCAGCACCAATATGCGCGCGCACAGGCGAGGAAGTCAACCAAACTCCCCAAATGCACGGGCAACTACGAGAGACGTGTAGCAGTTAGGCTGCAAAGGAAACACGTTCCGCGTCCGGACCTTCACCAGTTATGCTCAGGCGATAGGGTACCTTTTGATGTATTCTGATGTAACTGACCGGAAGGTCCGTGGTTCCAAACCGACCTCTGCCTCTCGACTTCCCCTGCCTAGAATTGGGCAACCTGAGAGTATCCCAGCCCTCGTGCTTCCTTCGAGTAGCATGGCAGCTAGGCACCGGAAGGGTGCCACAGCTGAACGATTTTCTTATTGTAAGACTGTTACTAATGCATACACATATACATAGCCTGTACACTGATAATAATGGTAGAAGATGAACAGACGAAGCGTGGGTATTGGGTGTTGATGCCATTGAATTCGCGGGTTTCCCTCGTTTGGAGAAATTGGCATAGCGAACCACTGTGTGAATGAAGTACAGTTAACCGTAAACAAAAGGCCCCATTCTCACATCCGTCAGTTCGGGATCACCGGCTATTGGTGCACAGGTTGTGAGTAGTGGTCAAGTTATGGATCTTAAGATGTCCGAAAGCAGGATGGGTTTTTCGGATCTTTTCCAGATAAGCCCCACCACTAGTGCAAAAAATGCGTGTGCGAAAAGTTAAGCCCCGCCACTTTCTGCCAGCTCCAATTTAACGTACGCACACAACCTTGACCTAGTTTTGATGAAAACAATTCTTTATCCGCATCTAGGCCTATTTTGTGCAAGCATTTTCTCCGTTCGGACGTAAAACCTTGAATGAACTTCCTGACGCTTTCAACTCTCGTTCATCCTAAGGAGACGGCAATATGTTTTTGCAAAGCCACGGAGTGATACATCAGCAACGTTATGCAACAATGGCCACTAAATGACACTTTTTGACAAGTGGAGGTGCATGTCCGACAGTGTCGGCAAGAGATCGGTCTTTGAAAGGGAACTTGGCTGGAGTGATCTAGGATGGAGTTTAGGACAGTAATTCTATGCATTTATTGCTGGTCCAAAATTTTGGCAAAAAGGTACCGAAACGGTTAATCATACCGAAAGCTTTGTGGATCCAACGACTGGAGCTCACGCACAAACCATCGAATCTCTTTGACACGTCTACAAGATGCAGAATAAACGCCACACACCGATCTTTAGTGGACATCTACTTGTGTGAGTTCGTTTGGAGGCAAAGGCACCGAAAAACGAACCTTTTCGTGCAAATTATTAATGACATGTCCCAATTTCACCCTCTTCAATAAAAACTAAAAGTACAAATTTCATATGCTCTTTCTCCCAATCTTTTTCGGGTTATTTTTTTGGCGGGGCTCATCTGGAAGAGATCCGGGTTTTCTCAGCAGCCTAACTGCTACGCGCGCTTCGTAGTTGTCCGTGGACTTGAGGAGTTTGATTGACTTCCTGCCCTGTGCACACGCGCATATGGGTGTTGCGCCGAGTTGCATGTGTGCAGTGTAAAAATAGGGGTGGCCATTCTTCCTGTTTGACAGTTGCACAAACTTGAGAACAGCTTGACCTGATGTGAATGAAGGTCGTAAGTCTGGCTGGCACATGATGCAGGTGGTATCCGCCGGTTGGTGGAACAAGAGGGTGCCGCCGTCCATATTGACATGTTGACATCTTTCGTCAGCTCGGTTTTTGAAAACCTTTGTCAGCTAACAATCGATCGTTTTCCTGGCACCTCGTCTTCCAAGGTCCGGATCAGGCGTGGAGCAACCAAGTGCTGGCCCTCGTGGGTGTCCTTGCCAACGGTCCTCAGAATCGTCCCTCTCCTCCGGCACTAACTTCGGAAAGCTGGATTCAGTCAAATGGGTACGTGATACGTCTATTTTTTTCTGTGCTTTATTTTAGCCACAAACTTTGAACAAGGTCATGTGTGGTCGGTGTCAGTAGCCTCTGGCGGTTAGAAAGCATTCAGATGTCGCGAAGACCCATCTTCTTTTTGGTACCTTTCTGGAACAACCGCACTTAGATTAGGTCACTTATCGTGTCCTCATTCGTATAGTCCTCTCAGTTGAACTGCTGACCCAGCGATATATGTTTCCAGGTTCGTTCTGGACGGCTCGCGAGGACCATAGATTGTGGCGAGCGATAGTCCAGCTTGATCTTAGTCGTAGTCGAGTGTTCGAGCACATTTCTCACATAGCGTAGCATCCATAGTTCCCCCTAACTGGTGTGGAGAGTCTACCCGTCTGAGGCCACGCTACCGGGTGTCGCTTTTGCCCCTGATTCGCTTTAGTCTTGTTTCATTTTTCTGTCCAACTGACAACAGACCGATCACTCTGGATTAACAGAATCACACACAGACCTGCTCACAATTATCTCCAAAACTTGCATGTTGACCACTTTACTTGATTTTTACAAGTGCGTTACGTTGGCCGTGAACCTTTTAATGGGCACCGCATGTTCATCAACGGTAGGGGGACTGTGGATTGAGGACGGTAGCTTCTGCCCGCTCTTTGTAGGTGGCGTTGTTGACTACCCATGACTCTTCCATCGATTGAAGTGATCACCTGACTTCACCGTGTTTTTGTTGTCTTGGAAAAAGCGGCATATACAAACATGCTTGATTATTAGCACTATGAGGAGCTTAGGAAGCTTCAGTCGGTAGTTGTTCCATTATCGAAGCAGTCAAACCTTGTGCAGATTTCTCGTCCTTGTTGGGAGTCGCCGGGACCGCGCATCTCACGAATCTCTAGGGCAGTTCGAACCCGCGTCCTTCCGGCTGGTAGTTAAAACACTTGACCGAGTGGCTGACCCTGCATCCAGACAGGATATGGCAACATCCACCCTCCTCTCATGCGGTCACACGTGTTGACTAGCTCCTCGACTTCTCGGATGGAATTCCACTCATCGGGTGAATTTAATCCTCCCTCCGAGCTACTTGCATGTTGTTGATAGTGTGATGAAATTTAGGAAATTTTGTGGAGATTTCGTTCTTCACGTGAAGACAGTCTATAAACCGTTCAGCTGTAACACCCTTTTTGTGCCTAGCTGCCATGCCACCAGAAGGAAGCACGAGGGTTCGGATACTGCTCAAGCCTAGACAAGGGGTGTCGAAAGGCAGATGTCGGATTCGAACCACGGACCTTTCGGTCAGTAAATTCGCGCTCTAACCACTTGGGCCATCTCGCCTACCGCCATGCCACCAAAAGGAAGCACGAGGTTTTGGATACTGCCCAAGCCTAGACAGGGGGAGTCGAGAGGCAGAGGTCGGATTCGAACCACGGACCTTTCGGTCGGTGAATTCGCTGAGTCATCTCGGTGAAAAACCGAGGAGCACTGTACAGATGTTTCACCCTCATTGGGAATCGTCAGCAGTTCGCAGCTTACGGAACTTCAAAAAGTCTGGAACCAGCGACCTGCCGGTCAGTAGTTCGAACACTTCATCGTTTGGCCGCGAGCGCCTGGTCCACAGTTTGATTTACCCACATTCAGATGCAATGTGGTGATCCTCATCCTTCAGTCACGCAATTCAAATCAGACAATCACACCACCTTTCCAAATGATGACTTGTCAGATGGAAGTTTCACGCTCAGAAAGAAGAACAATTCACATTTTGCTTGAAACTTTTATTTGAGAAGTAGTCTCTGGACGAGCCAATTAACATGTGGCCGCTTGATATGAACTGGGCGCTTGTAAGTGGACTGTCGCTGTATCACGTCCATATGTGACCTAAATTGGGAAATGGTAGATATTCTTCATAGAGGAGACTACTAACAAGGTGTGCAGCACATTCAGTTGTAGAATACCATAAACGAGAGATTCAGTTAAGTCTCTCGTGAAAACCAAATTGATTTGCAAATGAGTGCATTTCTCGAGAACAGTCCAATTTGGGTTCAAATAGAACATAGGATTGATGGAAACTCGGGGGCTGCGCCTACCTGATGAGCCCTAAGAAGAGCGAAACCGGTCGTGGGCTGTCGAAGGGTTTTCAGCAACCTCGTGAGTAGTTTCATGAAAAAAAGGATACTAAGAAGGTTGCTGAAAGCTCTTCGACAGCCCACGACCGATTTTGCCCTCCTTGGGGCTCATCAGGTAGGCGCGGTCCGCGAGGTTCCGTCTTTTTTTGATGTATCTTCCGCTTTGTTGTTCATTTCGGAAGCAACGCGTCGATTATTTTGATCTCATAGCGAACCTTTTTCGAGGAGAAGCTTCCATTGTAGATAGTCCAAAACAATACGGTCCGATCCAATGTACGATCTTTCCGAAGCAAAGCCACCATTTCAATTCCACACTCTTCCACGTGGTGGCCTTCCCTGAAGTATCGGTGTACTTGGGTTCGCTGCCATTCAATTTCGTGACTGCACTTTCCTAAATTTTTTTCAGACGTTCCTTAAATGGAGATATGAACCAATTGACTTCCACCCACACGGCCCCTGCCCAAAACCAACCGCATCAGCATCGCTGCCCGACAGGTGTTTCGGGCGCCACATCTATCGGCCCACGACGTCTGACCGACAAGTGCCAGCGCGAGCTCTTTGTCTGTGTCCTTCATATCCTTTCCGTTGTGACCGAGGACCAGCTGATCTCACTCTATCGGAACTTTACGTCACAAGAGCGTATCCACTTTCTTACCATTCTCAAGTAGGTTCGCTTCGTCACAGGCGCTTTTCGTTTATTTGGTGACATACTTTGCTTTTTTGTCGTCCCCTCACTTTATCATTCACCGTCCTTATTGGTCGAGATTTGCCGCCCTTTTTATAATCATCGTTATAATTATGTCATGGATCTTCGTTGTCTTCATGTGCGCTTTGTTGTGTTATCGGTTTCCAAACCAGACATCGTTTTCACGACTCGAGTTTGTTATATCTCACAAAAACCCTCGTAAAGGAAATAAATTCTGAATAGGGCTTCTGGCTCAGACGATTTGACGACCATCCGTAGTATTCGAATTTTTCTGTGTCGAATAACTGCGAATGTGAGTTTTTTTTATATTTTTTCACCTCAGCTACTCCGTGCAACATTTGCGATACCGCGGCAAAAAGTGCATTCTGAATTATGAGTAAGTTTCTCAGCTTTCGCGTTTAGCCAACCCACTTCCAGTAAATACGTATCAGTCCCCCTGTTTGCTCTTCTTGGATTCTAACCAGTCGTACTCCTGTCGTTTTTCGTCCAGGGGATGAGAAAGCAAACAGATGTATCGTTTTTTCGCACACCGCCTAGCTCCAAACTGGTTCATGTTCACGTCTTCTAACAGTGACGGAGTTTTTCAAAGTGCTTTCCTTCTGACTGTCCATTCCAGACACATAAGTCGGAGTGCTGTTGGTCGTTCAAATATATCTGGGTCTTTGAAGCGGTCCGTTGCGCGTTCGGTTGTGGAACCCCGAAACGCGTCTGTTGGCCCCACCTCGGGTCTCATGGATCCGGACAGTTGGGAATCGGAAAGCACTGGTGCGTGATGTCGGGTTTGCATTTTTAAGAGCATAGCGCAGACATATCCTTAGCTGATAATATCTGAAACGATCGGTACATAATGAAGTCGCTTCAGTCCTAAGCACCGACGTAAAGAGTTTTTATCAGGTGTGCAGTGCTTAGGTCAATCACAGTCCACATTTCCCAGTTCGTTCAGATCTCCTCCGAACTTTAAGCTCAGTCATGCATTCTAGTGATTGGACCAAGTGCACTTGTCTGTAAATTGTATTCTATCTTTCCTCTGAACAGTAAATTTGCACGTGATTCCCTGGAATAAATGTTTTTCGGTGTGTTAACACTAACTATTTTCTGGCGACGGGGCTGACCTTACGTTGTTCATGGTTGGTGACGTAGCCACAAGACAAAAATACATGCCTTTCCTTACCTCTACTCCGCTAACCGTTCCATTTTCGGTACAGACTTCAAAGTTCTCCTGGAGGCCAATCTGGCGACGGAAGCGGGGCTGATTGTCTTGGACCTGCTGCACACGTTCAACATTGTGTTTCGGGTGAGTTTTTATATTCACAGAATCTCTCGATGTTACTGCAGTGCTGCTTCTACTTGTCATGATGTTCATTGTTTTTTTTAGCAAGAACTGGAAACATGCAAGCCCAACAATCCCATTTTTAAAGGAATTCTGGAGGTATACATTTCTCTACTGATGCATACACCGTCCGATCATCTGATTCGTCACACATTCGCCGCCTTGAGGATGTTCGTAGGTCGGTTCGCAAAGGTGAGTATAAAGTGGAAACCCTTCATCCGTTGTTCACTGATGTGGACGATGTCAACATTTTTACGGGTTACTCTGGCGTTTCATTATGCGGTTTTGCTAAGCAATATCTCCGACCGAATAATGTCCAAAAGCATTCACTCCACTCTTTCGACTGGTGTAGTTGCGGGTCAGTTTGGTCATATTTCGAGCGGCGGTTGACCGAGGATGAGCCGAATATGGATTATAATACTTTACTTATGCAAGGGAAGTCGAGTCTACAGAAGCTTCAAAACGTTTTTGTTGTTGTACTACTTATGAGTAGCACACACACTATGCGTTTTTATTTGTCTCCTCAGGTCCTGTTTTCCGAATCCACTGAAATCCTCAATGCACTCTGTGTGGCTGGATTACGTTGCGCTAACCAAAATCTGCCCCAGCCAGTTAGCTCCAACAGTACCTGTTTTACCGAAGCATCGTCGACGGAAGACATGGTAACCCGAACCGCCAATGTGACATGCCAGATCCGGATAGAGGCTTGCAGTTTCTTGTACAAACTCTGGAAAACGAGCTTTGAGACCTACGGAACCTCGGGCTTTCATCGGGTACACCTCCAGGTGAGTGTAGGAGCATGCGCTGTCTCGGGGGGGGGCGCGTCTTTCGCAGAATTTGAAAAAAAATATGTGCACGCTAAAGTGATCAAGCCTGCTTCGAATAGCTTTATCGTCGTCATTTCCTTTACAGTCCATCATCTCTGTATCGAAGCTGGTCAGCGAAATCCAACCCGGCTTCGATGCAAGTTTGAGCCTCCTTCACAGCTTGGTGGATACGGATATGACACGTAGTCCTCTAGGGCGAGAGGACACAAAATTCTGGACCATGAGCAATACGCGTACTCTCTTCTTGGATGAGGTGAATGATTTGCTCCGTCGAATTCGAACGGTTCTCACGGCGACTTCGGAGATGCGTCGACACAGTGATGATCCCGAGCAGCTGGTCGATTTGCACTATTGCCTGGCGAAGTCATATAGCAGCAATCCAGCCCTCCGGCGGTAAGTTCACTTTATTGCTATACGGTATCGCCAGTGGTGTTTCTTTCGTGGATTTGTTAGGGGAAAGGTTACATGGAAGACACCAGCGTGTCCCAACCCATATCTTCATTTCTCTCAGAAAACTTAGATTGGTCAGGTTCTTCATTTAATGTCCACCCACCTCCCAAGGTGAATTCGCCCCCTAACATACGAAACGAGTAGATCCACTATAAATGTGGTCGCTAATACTTCCTCCATCTGATAGTGGGGTTCACTGAAACAAAGAGCGTTTCCGGACGATTGGACTGCTTTGCTTTGTTCTGCTGTCTAAGGCAACACCATTGGCGCTTTCGAGGTTGTGTGAAGTGGGAGACGCAAGAGATTTTTATTAGTCACACGTATATGTGAGTGTGCAAAGTGACCTTCCAGCAACGAATGAACTCTTTTGTGCTTTGTTCTAATCGCTTTTTTTACGTTTATCATTGGTCATCCAAGCTTTTGGCCACTCTTGTGGTCGGTATTCACATCGCTTTCCTGTCCCACCGTGATTATTCCTGGTGGTCGACACCGAGGGCACCTTAGGTGACATTTGTGCAACCATTCTCCCGGCCGCTTGATACTTCACCAGAATGCTCTTGCACCAGTCCCCTCACCATAATACTGTTTTCCTTTGGGTACCATGGAACAATTTAGAGATGCTTTTTCGTCGAATGGACCGACTATTTTAGCTGGAGGTTTGCATCTGCAGTCAATGATCCATTCCGACCGAGATCGATCAGCGGCGAGGGCTCCAACCTACTGACCGGAAGGTTCATGGTTCGAACCCAACCTCAGCATCTCCCAGGCTTGGGCGGCGTGGTATTATCTCACTGGCCAAATCATGTGGTCCGAACTGCTTCAGAATCACTTTCCCGGTGAGCGACTGTACTGATTCTCGCTTTCAGCATGACAGGTCGGTTCCGTCTCAGATCAGGCCAACTCTCCGATGACCTTCCCTTCCTACACGTATTGCGGCAACAAGAAAATTGCATTGTCATTCTCCTGCCAGCAAAAGATTCACATCCTCTCCTCTTGCTTTTTTTCCACTAGCACCTGGTTGGAAGAGTTGGCGAAACTCCACATGAAAACGCATAGCTTGGCAGAACTGGCCATGACGAAACTGCACATAGCGGCACTGATGGTTGAATATCTTCGCAGACGAGGTAAGCTATCACGAACAACTGACTTCTCATGTTAATCGGCCATGCTGTCCATCCCAGTCAAGTCCGCTCTATTCATCTGTCTTCAAACACCATTTTAGACTGTCTTAGTCGTAAGTTTCAGTCGCGTTCACATCACGTGTTCGTCCCATCAGGACTTTTTAACACACCTACACGCATTCTGGTGATTCACCGTCGCTTCCCTATACGTGTTTGTCGATTGTTTCCTTTCCTTGGTGACCTTTCGCATCGTGATCGTCGCGACGCATGACGGTTGTTCACGGGCCATGAACAAGCGTGAACTGCGATGACCTTTCTCCGTGTGTGTGTGTTTATGTTACAGCCACAACAACCTGCTTGTGGTGGCACGCGTGCTATGCGATGATTTTCAATCTATTGCCTCTACTTTCCCCCCCCCACTGAAGTGAACAGACCTCGCATTTTGCTCATACTGGGTGTTCCCTCCTGTCCCTGTTTTATTCAGGCGATTACCCGCAAGGATGTGAAGCCTTTGAAGTAATCTCTTCAAACATTTCACATGAAGAAAACGGTCTTCGAACTGACTCTGCTATGCTGGAAATCCCGTACACTCAGGTCAGCCGTTTTTTTGTGTGCTATGTATGCCATATGAAAACATTCCACAAGTCGAGGTTTTCATCAAACCTGTGAGTAATGTATGCGATGGCCTTTTTTGGGTGGGTGCTGGAGGAACCAGTGGATAGCAACTCACATGCATTACCCCTAAATCGCTCTTGTTACTGCTTCTCGGTCCTGACAGGCGGGTTGGTCGATCGCCACAACCAGGACAGTTGTCGTTTCGATGATGAGTCGGGCACACCAATCACATCGTTCAAGCGTGAACACTTCCGCCCGTTCAGACGTAAAAAATTCAGATGCGTGTGCTGGTGGAGTAGTGGTAACACGCTCGCCTCGCTTGTCAGGTGTCCAGAGTTCGAGCCCCGGCACGGCCATTGGATATGCACTGCTGATGCGGTCTAATAAGAGCGAAACTCGAGTCCAGTGCTTCCTCCGTTTGGTTTGGACTCACCGGAATAATTACGGCAGAACAGGAAGATGACTGTTCAATACATATCCCGCAAACCCCACAACAGCATGACAAAGAATTCAAAGTCCTATTCTAAGCACTCGTGGCTCGAGATTCGTGAGGTAGTGGCTCCCTTCCAACTACAGTCGGCTTCTCTCGCCACCTTATCAATAAGAACCGCTCTCCTATGCGGGATAGATGTTAGGATATTAGTTACTCTTGACTCTTTGTCTCGTGTCATCACTGACCTCCGTGTGTTTGCTGACATGACATTCAAGCTATCGCAATTTGAACATGGGTTGGCTATTACCTCGCTTCCCTCCTAGGACAAATCAGCCTTCTCTTTAGTTGTGTTCACAATCTTCTATCGTGCCATGTTTGTTTTCCCGACAGGAGGATCTGCTTGTCGACATCAACGAGGCTGCTGCCACTCTTGACAAGGCGGGTCTGTTCGAAGCAATTCGACCCATCTACTCCCTCGTGTTGCCCGTTTATGAAGCACGCAAGGACTACGTCGCATTGTCGCAAATTTTTCACCATATCGGGGATGCTTACCACCGTATTGGCAATGCGGAGTCCAATGGGCACAGATTGTTTGCGACCTACTTCAGAGTAACATTCTACGGTCACGTAAGTAGCAGAAGTTTTCGTCGTCTCCGTTTTCCGGTCATGATTTCAAAGGTTATGCGCTGCTTTGCCACGGTAGAGAAACAGGAGGACCACTAATATCCGACATACAATTGATGCGGATTTTTGTTGCACAGTCTGTATGCGACTTGAAACTTCACAGTCGCTGTTGTCAACTTGGAACACAATGCCAAACAGTCAGATAATGCTCCAGAAAAGTTCAGGTCTCGTCTGCGAAAGTTCATTCAGATGGACGTTTCTCTGTTATCGTAATCGCGTTCTACTCTGGTCGTTCGTGTCTGGTGAGAAGTAAATCCTCATCCGACCGATATCACCTGTAGACAACAGAAAAATTCCTTTAGCCAAGTGTTTTTCACGTCTGTTCTAGTGAAATAACCCGTAAAACGTACCAAGACTCGTGCGGGGATTGAATCCACGTTGTCCGCACGCAAGTGCTTTGTTTTATTCAGCCGAGCCGATCCAGGATTGGCTGCTCACAGACATAACATGCAACGTAAATGCTAAACGGTCAACTGAAGGCAGATCCTATGATACGATGTTTCGGTGATGTACGGACCAATATCTGAACGACGCATTGTAGTACTCAACTATCCGAACGACTGACTAATCCGGTCAGGGCCGGTGGCCTACTACCCATGAGTAAATGAAATGTCGTTATGCGAGCCACACTGCAAGCCTCACGAGCCCCGTACCAGTCAATTAATTGAGTGGGATGAGATGGCACGAATTTACTGACCGGAAGGTCCGTGGTTCGAACTCGACCTCTGCCTCTCGACTTCCTTGTCTATGCTAGGGCAACCTGGCAGTATCCCAGCCCTCGTACTTCCTTCTGGTGGCATGGCAGCTAGGCACCGAAATGGCGCTACAGCTGAACGTTTTTTACTAGTTGAGTGAAATTTCGCTCATTGGTTCGTTTGACTTGGTCTGTAATCCGCGTAAGCATCAGTTAGGTTTCATATTAGGCTCTGAAGTAAACAATTCCGAATGAGTTGTCCCGTGATTGACAACACTCTTCTCCCTTTCGCTCCACTTTCAACAGCTGTTCGAGTCGTTGTGCGGAAAATCCTTTGTGTACCGTGCAAACGCTTGTCAAAAGTTGGATGGCATATGCAGCGATTTGCTCAAACTGTTCCGCAACAAACTGGGTAGCAGTGCCGTCGATCTACTGACAGACCATACGTTCAATCGAGATGCGTTAGATATGAACAAGGGTTACATTCAGGTGGGTACTCAGTTCGGGTTTACGTGGACCTTACCTAACCGCCCTTCCTTTACCCGGCCTTTACCCTTCCTTCACCGCCTTTCCTTTACCTAACCGCCCTTTCTCCTTCCCTACCCAGATAACCTACGTAGAACCGTACAAGCCGAAAACAGACTCCAGTAATCGTCCACTCAGTGCTTACGCGAAACACCATGACGTTCGACAGTTCATGTTCGAAACTCCGTTTGTTCTCAAGCCAGGTAAGATGTTGTGTGAACTTCACTTGTGAGGGAGGCGTCTTGATTTCCGCTTCCCAATCGACTCATTATCCTTTGCTTATCTCTTGTTTATCCCTCTCACACAGACGTTGTTATCTGTCTGTATGTCGGCCTGGCGTGTCAGGCAGACTGCTTTGTGTAGCTGAAAGTTCACATCCCGAACTGAAAGAAAAAGGTGAAGTTACCTGTCGAAAGTATAGCGCTCCTCATCTACCCTGCAGAAGCCATGGTAAAGGAAAGTGATATTACGATGAATTTATCATCTCGAATTTGGGAGGCGATTTTTGATGACGGAGACGACTGACCTTCACAAATTTCAACAAGAAAGTTAGTGTAGTGTGCATTTCTTGAATTGCGTCTAGTTTGGATTCGAGTAGACCGTGCCTACATGATTGGCTCTATTTTTTACTAGTTGAGTGAAATTTCGCTCATTGGTTCGTTTGACTTGGTCTGTAATCCGCGTAAGCATCAGTTAGGTTTCATATTAGGCTCTGAAGTAAACAATTCCGAATGAGTTGTCCCGTGATTGACAACACTCTTCTCCCTTTCGCTCCACTTTCAACAGCTGTTCGAGTCGTTGTGCGGAAAATCCTTTGTGTACCGTGCAAACGCTTGTCAAAAGTTGGATGGCATATGCAGCGATTTGCTCAAACTGTTCCGCAACAAACTGGGTAGCAGTGCCGTCGATCTACTGACAGACCATACGTTCAATCGAGATGCGTTAGATATGAACAAGGGTTACATTCAGGTGGGTACTCAGTTCGGGTTTACGTGGACCTTACCTAACCGCCCTTCCTTTACCCGGCCTTTACCCTTCCTTCACCGCCTTTCCTTTACCTAACCGCCCTTTCTCCTTCCCTACCCAGATAACCTACGTAGAACCGTACAAGCCGAAAACAGACTCCAGTAATCGTCCACTCAGTGCTTACGCGAAACACCATGACGTTCGACAGTTCATGTTCGAAACTCCGTTTGTTCTCAAGCCAGGTAAGATGTTGTGTGAACTTCACTTGTGAGGGAGGCGTCTTGATTTCCGCTTCCCAATCGACTCATTATCCTTTGCTTATCTCTTGTTTATCCCTCTCACACAGACGTTGTTATCTGTCTGTATGTCGGCCTGGCGTGTCAGGCAGACTGCTTTGTGTAGCTGAAAGTTCACATCCCGAACTGAAAGAAAAAGGTGAAGTTACCTGTCGAAAGTATAGCGCTCCTCATCTACCCTGCAGAAGCCATGGTAAAGGAAAGTGATATTACGATGAATTTATCATCTCGAATTTGGGAGGCGATTTTTGATGACGGAGACGACTGACCTTCACAAATTTCAACAAGAAAGTTAGTGTAGTGTGCATTTCTTGAATTGCGTCTAGTTTGGATTCGAGTAGACCGTGCCTACATGATTGGCTCTAAGAAGGGAGAAGTCAGTCGTGGGTTTGTCGACGAGGGGTTTTCATCAACCTCATGAATAGTGTTGCTTCAGACTAGAGTTTACAGACATTTGTACACTGCATCGTCCGTAGCTTTTCTCTTACGTATGTTCCTTCCGTGATGTGGTAGGTAGTTTGATGTGGTCCATGGCAGAATGGCTCTCGAAATACCGAAACTTTCCACTCTGGTTCCCTTCACTAACTTCAGGTTTGTCAGCGACGGAGAGCTTACAAATTGATGGTCCAAAGAGGAGTGAGGATCTGACGCTACAATGGAAACGTCGGACCATACTCACAACTGAGGCCTCTTTCCCCCATATCCGACTTCGTCTCGAAGTAGTTGAAATGTCTGAGACAGACTTATCACCGATCGATGGCGCGATCGACGCGATTTTCAGTAAAAATCAAGAACTACTGAGTCACGTCACCACGATTTCGACACCCTCCGCGCAAGTTCTCGGTAAGCATGTGTTTACTTGTGTTTCTTGTCTTGTATATATGGCGGATTGTTTGCCGCTACGGAGGGTTCAAAACGGCAGAGTGGTTAAAGGGCGAAGTCCATCATCATCATCGACAGCATGACATCCGTGTTCAATACCAATGCTTCACTGCCGTACAACCATGGTTTATTTGAAAGCCTTATTGTAAAGAAAAGAGTAAAGGTGGACAGGGAAGGGACTTAGTGCTAGCTTACCACAATCATTCCGAAGTGTCTACACCTCCAGACGCTCATTCAGGCAATCTGCATAGAAACTGACAACAAGAACGCCACTGACGTCGGTTGGCAGCCATATCTTGTAGTGTCTCCAACCAGGTACACTGAGGATCACGCGGTCCCCATCCTGGAAGGCGAGTAGCACCGACAGCACCCGAGGGTTTCGTAATCTCCTTCATACTCCTCTGCCAAGTCAAGGGTTGGCCACCTCTCTGCTTACGCCACTCTGAATTGGGCATGGAAAACAGCACTTTCTTCGGCATACGGAACACATGTCCAAACCAACGCAGCTTCTTGTGCTGGACACATTCTTCAATTGAAGTACCCGTTGCACAACCGAAAACGCGTTTTCTAACTGACTCGTTACGGAGACAACCTGTAGACCCATACCAATGGGTCTACAGGTTGTCTCTCAATTGCCAATGGAGGGATGTTCCTTTCGGATTTCGCTTTGAATGATGCAACCCATAGATGAGAATCCAATGATTCAGAAGGAAACAGGGGTTTTTTACTTGAAAGTAAACACACTAGTTCAGTTAGGTCAGCTGACTACGGAACAGTATTCACGACAGGAGAGCTGATTAACAAAAAAACGCTGATCATGTATGAAAGCGATGAAGGCGACTGCCTAACCTTGCCTATCCAACCTTCTCAAATCACCGGTGAACGAACTTAAGGCAGCTCTACAACTACTGTATGGCATGTACGCGGTTTTCACGGCAGTCCATGAAGATACACATTGCTCAACGACAACTGTAAGTATTCCTGAGCTTCAGAGATCAATATAATGGCTGATTTTAGAAAATTCCGTTCTCAAAGTGACCTGTTTGAAGGACACAGCATTAACGGTGTTCGACGACCGCTCTTGGCGAGGGTTGTGCAAACTGGCATTGTTTCATTCCTCATGCTTCTTTCTGGAAGTATGGTGGCCAATGCACCGAAGGGGTATCACAGTACGGAGGATTGGTAGCCCAAATAAAAGCGTTTCATCGTTCTAGTGTAGATGTCTTCGGATCCAGAAAACTCCCGCCACACGAGGCTTTTTGTCTTAATGGGAACTTTTAGGGTTGTTGTCATTAGCTAAATTTCAGAATGTTTCCTACAGGGCCACAACCCCGCCGATCGGTGTGAACCACATGCAATCTTTCAAGTAGATGCGAAATTCGCTTAAATTTTGCTGGATCACTTCATCTCCACATGGTGAGTCTCGATTGGACAAAAAGGTCCCACATTTGGGGCGTCCGAGCACAGTCTCTCTTCCACATTTGGTCCGAATTCAAGCCTGTTACTATGCTATTATCAGATTTCCGCCATGGTCGAAGACTGCCGGTTTTTGTGGACAACTTTCTTTTGTTCTTGTCCAACCATGTCTGACAAGTCCGCATCTGGCAGTCCGGATTACTCTTTACTGGCTGATCGTTGTTCCTCGTGATCCTGTTCGTTTGACTTGAACGATTGTGGAGAGTGTCCAAAGGTGTTTTATTTGAAACGTAGTGTTTTTTCACACTTAAGATAACTAGAGCAAGTAACTAGCAGGTAACTGGAGCTAGTAATGGATTTAGATGAATTTCGACCAGAAATACCTTCACGCCAAAGGGACCCATCATATACAAAGTCGCCTTGACTAATCTGACTATCAACCGATCAAGTGGGACACCAAGGTCAGCGTGTTCTTGCAGCGAACACCCTTTGTTTTCTTAACAAATCGAACCGTACCATTGTTGGTTTTCCTCGTCGCATTCGCGAGCATGTTGGTTCTTTATACGCAGCGAACAACCACATCTAGATAGACGAATAAACGCAGCGAAACGTTGGAACACAATGCTTCCGGCATGTATGACACCAGATACATCCGTTTATAGATGTTCGCTTTTCCAGTATATCCTCTACGTTCGTCGTACCTTTTCAAGAAATACATTCATTTGCAAATCAATTTAGTTTTCACCAGAGACTGAACTGAATCTTTCGTTTATGATATTCTACAACTGAATGTGCTGCACACATGCCGCCTCATGATTCAGTTGGCACGATATTCGAGATATCGCAGTATATTTTCACAAGGGAAACTACTCACATGGTTGCTGAAAACGAAATTGATTTGCAAATGAGTGTATTTCTCGAGAACAGTGCAATTCGGGTTCAAGTAGAACCTAATGTTGACGGAAACTCGGGGACTGCGCCTACCTGATGAGCCCAAAGTGGAAGGGCGAAACCGGTTGTGGGCTGTCGAAGGGTTTTCAGCAACATTGTGAGTAGTTTCATCGTACGTTTTTTTTTAACTCGTTTCCCTTTTTTCCCTTGTATCTCTCACTTCATTCGATTCAGATAACGCTGGCGACGGATGTGCAGAGCGGGTCACCGTAACCTCTATTGGCATCAAGTCCCCTGTGCAAGGAAGCCTGGCTCCAACCTCTTCAGAATTTCGAGGGATCCCCCTACTGATGGATATGCAACTCCAAGGCGCTCTGCTACCCACCGTCAATGCTGGTCCAATGGCCTATGCGGAGGCGTTTTTAAAACTGGAAAACCAATCTAACTACCCCAAAGATAAAGTCATTCGCTTACGAGAACTATTTTTGTAAGTGGCAACCTCTGACACATTGATCCCTTGTTCATTCGAGCTCTCTTGGTCGATTTCCACTCCCTGAGGGTTTTGACGCAACTTTCTAAAACAGTATACTGTGTTGGTAGGGTGACAAGCAGCGTAAATTGAGCCAACCGTTTTTTTTTTCGCGAAGACCTTGGCTTTGTTGTCAGATTTTGAGCGAAACACACATCACTTTGCTGCCTCAGGAATCCAGAATAACTGCAATGAACACTTGAATTGGACGACAACTGGGTGCCTGATATCCAACATAATTAATTTGGGATTTTGAGACTACTTGTGAGTAGATAAATAGTTTCGTGTTCTCCTGAGGATCCGCAATTGTTTGCCGATCTAGTCTCCACATTTCAGTTCATTTTGGACCAATTGAATCAGAGACTGATTGTAGCTTCACCTAAAAAGCAAATCCAAACCGTCACCACTCCCCATGCTTTTGACGTTTCATCTCTATCTACGGTTTGCACGTTCCCCCATTACAGCGAATTTCTCACCGTTTGTCTCGTCCTGCTTTCGCAATATCAACGCCTCATGTCCCCAGTTCATATCGAGAAGTACATGATGATGCGGCAATCGCTGGATCGCTATCGCGTTGATTTGAGCAATTTGCTCAAGGAAGAGGTAGGTGATCCTAGTCTGGATGGTAGCCGATTTCTCACCTCGTCGTTTTGAGTGGTTTCTCACCAGCGGATTTCTCTTTTGTTGCGTTTACAGGTCCTTGTCGATGAAAAACGACTCGTCATTGGCCCCAGATCAGCAACCGCTGATCTGCCTCCGACTAGTCCGGGATCGATGTGCGTGAACGAATGCTAATGTGTATTAGGACCGGTTGTAACATTGGCTTTCGCTGTACATCACTGTATCATATGATTATATTTTTCTGATATTTCGAACCTTTCATCGAGCAACAGGCTTGCACATTTGTTTCCGCCTCCTTTTTTGGCCTTTCTGTTTGTTTTTCTGTGCATATAATTCAATTCGATTTGTTCTTTTTTTTTAATCCTCCATAAGTCTATCATCGCGAAAGCAGTAATGACCTTGGAATCTGGATTCTTTTGTTCCACCCCGTGGTGGGCGTCACATTTTGTGCTTACCGCAATGGAAGCCAACTGCTTCCCTTTCCACCGCTTGATTATTTTTCCTGCCTTCATTAGCCCTTGTTGTGTTTTTCAGAACAGATGAATCAGCGCAATGCCCGCGCCCGTTTTGTTTCTATTATCTAACGATCGTGACAGGTCGTAGAAGCACACCGCCAGTGGTTTCCGTTCAGTCATCCTTTCGGAACTTAGCTGGCGTGTCACCCAAAGGAAGCACCAGGGTACTGCCAGATTGCCCAAGCTTAGACTAAACGGTCGAGACGCACTGGCTGGATTCGACCCTCCGGCGGCTCCTCCACTGAACTCGTCCAGTGCTACGCATCGGGTTTATATGTGGTGCCTTTTCTTCGTAAAAAATACCCCAGGAGTTATGGGTGCAAGATAGATTGTACGGGCGGAACTTTCACATCATGGTTCGTTTCGCTTCGCTCGTTGGAGCGAGGCATGTCCGATGCATCTCACTTAATGTGACATCCAAGTTTGCTGTTCTTTGGCGTGTCACAAGTGGCCTCTTCAGAGAAGAGGCTGTGAGTTTCGGCAATCACAATCCATTAGGGGGCTGGATGAGCTGGTTGCTTCAATTTGCTTGATCTCTTCCGATTTCCATTCCAGTTAAGGTCTGTCTGTCACGACAAACCAGCTAAGGTCATTTAGCTATCGACAGCATATCATTGTCACTCCTTTCCCATGTCAAGCTTCCGTTGGTAAATGAGACGGTTCAAATTACATACCTCCTTCCTCCATTTTCGTCTTACGGTATATACCACTGATGAAGCATGCAAGTAGTCTATTGTGCGGATCCAGGCTCCGCCCCAATATCTCATGGAAGGTGAAGCTTACTATGGGAATTGTGGAGTCGCTTTACAGTGTTCGTTTACACATGTTTAACAGTCAAACACCATACAGTGTATTTCAGAACGCTTGGAAATGTTCACTTTTCCAAAACGCTGCATATGATGTGTTGATTTTCCTGTCTACTGTAACTGCTTAGTTCTTGTTTGCTAATCAGTAACTTCGCAACGAATGGCTTTCCTTTCACCGATACACTCGAAGTCTATTTGTAAGCAGAACTTGATGAACATCATCCGTTCGTAGCCCCAAACTTCATAAAATCGTGGAACGCATCCTGTGTGGCAATGTTGGTCCGTTCAATACGTCACAGTATAGCAAGAGTTGTGGCCCATACAAGATAATCATAATAACCGACAGTGTGTAGCAGATTGTATAGTGTCTTTTGCACCGACTGTATTGCAGAACCAGTCGTTTACCTCCTGATAGCTGTTGGGGATTTTGCTTACCTGGGGATCCTAGATCCTAATGCGCTCTGATGTTATCCAAGGCAATAGTAGCCTGTACAATACAGTTAGGAGAGCACCTTCTAGACACACCTATCGCCCTTCGAAATTTGGACTGGCTTTCGCTCCCAAGAACTTACTCGATTCGGACGAATCTGGTCACGTAGATCCATTTCATTCTGGAACAACTACCCCAGTATAATCACGAGGACGGTTGTAAATAATTATAACAGTTCATCTGTGGTACCCTTTCGGTGCCTAGCGACCATGCCACCCGAAGGAAATACGAGGGCTAATGTACTGCCTGCCAGGTTGCCCAAGACGGGAGCAGTCTAGACTCCCGGGGGTTGGATTCGAAACATGGACCTTTCTGTCAATAGGCTCGCGTCTTAACCAGGCAGCTACCTCGAGCTCACAGTTCATATTTTGCAGGGCATCCAACCTACGATTGGTTTTCAGAAAACCTGTC